AAATTCAGTGTTCCTGAGGTACATGCTCCATTAAATGATGGCTAGCCAGAGGCTGACTAAAACATCTGCCTGAAATCCAGACTGCTGCCTCTTGTGCTGAAATGTTTCCAGCTGGCACTGCCCCAGCCACAGGTTTTTGTTTTTTCTCCTCCATGGGCATGTGCAATTCAAAACCTGCAGTGGCTACAGCCTCTGAATTGAAAAGCAAGTCATGCAAATCCTATTGGCACCAGGGAGCTGTTATCTTACTACAGTTTATGGATTTCATGGAGTCTGAGGAATGAGGGCTCCATCCCAAGTGAGAGGTGTGAACTCTCTTTTGGGGGTCTCACACAGCACGAGTCACTGCTTATAGTCAGGTAACTCTGGGCTGAGACTGATGGCAGTGTTTGGAAACTGTGTTAGTCCTCAGGCAGTAAATTAATGTTCCAGAAACAAAACCTCTGCCTGCTCAGTATCTGTCTTACAGCTCTGTATCCACCTTGTCTGTATCATACAAGATGTGTCTGATCAGTGAAGCAGAGTGGAAAATACTTATTAACCTCTATTGACAGAGGCCCAGTGTAACCACTTCATTAATTTATCCCTGATTAGAGTCTGTTTATCCAGTCCAGTATCATTCCCTTTTAAGTCCTGGTTCATGTTGACTCTCCATCAGTCCTCTGGCACCTCTCCAGTGTTCCAAAGTTTGTTAAGATCTAAAATTAGTGAAATGAGAGTACTGAGCTGCTGATCTTAAGAATGGAAGTGTACATGACCCCAGACTTCTGAACTTAAAGTGTTTGTATTTAGCAGGTGATGTTTCACATCCTCCTCAGCTACAGATTGTAAATTATTTCATCTGGTATAGATAGATCCTACTACCTTGCTCTGATATAGTAAAGCAGGAATTATGAACATTTGGTGTGATGTTTTTCCCATCTAATGAATATAAATGGTAAGATTGTAAATAACAGAGAAACTATTCCTAAGTTAAGATTCCCAGTGATATTTTAATGTCTTCTTACTGTCTAAACATACTTAAGTTTTTATATTTCTGTTTCTGTTGCCTTGCATTCTCAATAATCTGTTTGCAATATACATTCTATGGCAATGAATATCTCTTCTGAACTCCTCCTTCAGATCTATCTCTCTGTCATCTATCTATCTTCTCTGTTGAAATATTGCTCTGGTCTGACAAGATATTAATCCACTGACGTTTAAATAAATCTCTGTCTTTATGGTTGCACGTGTAGTAATGTTTCTCATTTGCTGAGGCCAAAGTTGTGAGTGATAGGCTACCAAAGAGATATTTCATGTTTCTAATTAGCATCTCCTCCAAACAGTGATCTTTCAGCCCTGGTCCACAGACCTACTCCTTTTTGATGGGTCCAGTGTAGGGAAGAAGGGTCCAGAAGGACTGTGACTCAAGTTCCTTCTGAACAAGATGGACATGTATCTCAGGGAGGTTAGGATAGGAGTTGGCACCTTGTAACCACCACGGAGCAAGAGCTTCACTGTCTGTAGCTTTGGGAAACCAGAGCCATGGAAAGAAGCTGCTCTGCAGGGACATGGGGCTCTCTTCTCCAGAAACACTGCCCAACACATCCCTGTGTTACGTGTGCCTGGCTCCAGCCCATCTCCCAGGCACAGCATCCAAGCACTTTTCTCCTCACGCTCGCAGCCCACCTGCTGGATCCTCCTCACTCACATCCCAGCCCTGGCTGGAACATCATGTACTTGGCACAGGATGCTCCCCAGGACAGCACAGCAGACATCCTCTAGACACCCTGGGCAAACATGAAGAGCCTGCCATATATCCAGGCCCCCTGCTTTTTGCTCCATCCCCCAAGCAGCTGGCAGCAGTTTATCCACCCGAGCAGGACAGCTCCCACTTGGATGAGGTATTTGGGTGCTCCTGCCAAGGCAGGAGGAACATCTGCAGCGAGGAGCTGGGACCACATCCTACTTCCCCAACCAGCAAGAGCTGCCAGCAGGGGAGGAGGTTTCTGTGAGCACGAGATTGCTGGCAAAATGCTGATGCATCTGTGTGCTTGACTCTTTAACCTGCTCGTCCTTCCCTGAACCCGTCCCCTTCTTCCCTCCCTTCCCTTTCCCCCTCCTCCTCCTCCTTCTGGGCATTCCCTTCCCGTACCTCCCCGGGCTCGGGTGCACGGGTGCCTCCCCACCATCCTCAGAGCACCGCCAAGCGCCTGCCTCGGGAGCTGCCACAGGACGTGTGAAACTGCAGAGCATCTGCTCCAGTAAATTGTCTGGTTACTCCGTATCACAGGAATAACAAATAACGAGGAAAACAGTGATTTAAACACACAGGCACACAACCATTAATGAGCAGGGGATTAGAGAGACAGTAAGGGAAGCCAGAACTTGCCAGGCACTGGCTGATGGGCCATTAAAGGAGCTACTCTGGCTTTGGAGAGGATCTGCCTCAATATTGTATCTGATAAGATGGAGAAAACACGGTTAGTGTGAAATTAGAGGTGTATGTGAGGGAGCTTGGGGGACTGAACAAAACTTACTACAGGATGTTTACAGAAATGAGCAAAGACACAGGAAGGGAAGGATCAGGGTGGAACAAGTATGGGAAGATGACAAGGAAGGAGGCTGGAGGGATCAGACGTGACAGCAAATGTTTGGGCAGGACAATCACCTGGCTGGGCCCTGGCCTTGATCCATGCAGTCTGGCCTGCCTTCTTATTAAATCCCATCCTTGATTTCCTTTGCTGTGTGCCAGGCCCCGGAAAAGACTCAAGGTCTGAGCCAGGGCTGGTTGATGGAGCCAGGACAGAGGACACTAGACAGGCTTTTCAAGGGATCCATGAGTGTGGAGTGCCTGTGAAGGCAGAGAATATGGGAGGGTATTGAGGGGAAAAAAGAGCCACAAAAGCAACAAGCAGCAAAGATACTCTATCTCAACACTGAAAGATGTAAATACACTGGCAGAACAAAGCATCCATAAAAATGATTATGTTTGTTCAAAGTTACATTGCAGTAATTTTTTGGGTGCCACCCTGGAACTCTGCTGTCAGTAGACATTCCCCAGTCACCATCCCAAATGCTGTTTGTGAGGGTGCTGTGCTTCGGACTTGAATTAAATGCCAAGTCTCAGTTGCAACAAGAAAGAAATTGTGGGGTTTTTAAAGTAGTTACAGTTGCTAAGAGGTGTTCAGCACAGCTGTTTGTGAGGGTGCTGTGCTTCGGACTTGAATTAAATGCCAAGTCTCAACTGCAACAAGAAAGAAATTGTGGGTTTTTTTAAAGTAATTACAGTTGCTAAGAGGTGTTCAGCACAAGCAGGTTACTGAGAAAGCAGGTCCAATGAATAAGATAAATTCAGCGGAACTGAAGTACCAGGAGAGAAGCTGCAAGGAGCATAGGGGAACTCCATTCCAGCTGCTTTCAGGCAGCCCTCGTTTGTATCGACAATGTGAGGAAAAGCAGCACCAACAACTGCTGAGCTAGAAAGTTGTTTTTAATGAGTTTGAGGCCAACCATTTTCAACACTTTGAAACAAGGGAACTATGCTTGAAAACCAAAAGGTTGAGGTTCAGCTGTCCTCAGAGATGGAAAAACAACTGTCCATTCAGGTACCTAAGTGAAAATCAAAACAACTCTACCATCCTTCTGCGTGGAGCTTTGAGCTGCTGTGACTGCAATGCAGTCAAACAACCATGGTAGCACTGTCAGAAAACACTGTTCCAAAATGGATTCCACTAAAGCCTGAAAAGCAGAGCACAGCAGCCTGGAACACCCCAGGTTGCACTCTTGTCATTTCATGTCTAGCAGGCAAAACACAAAGCCTGAAGAGTAGGTCTTGGAACTTTGTTTTACCTACTCTTGTGAGCTTCTACAGGCACAGAAAGGATTTATTATTCTTGTACAAAGCTATGAAGGGAATTAAAATTAGACCAAGTAGATCAGGCTTAGGCAGCTGCAAGCTAACAGAGCCTTGCCACCAGCCATTCCTTGAGCTGCTGCAAATGCCACTGAGAGCATTACAGTATTCCCTGATAAGAGAAATACCAACAGATAAGTACCTGGGAAAGTATTTTTTACATAATTACTTTTTACTAAGACTCAAATCAGAAAAATAGCACATATTGTCATCTCTGGGCAATAAAACTTGAAATATGTGCTTTATCTCTTTAAAATTCAGTAAAAGAGTTTGTATAATGATGTTCAGAAATCATTTATGTTGATAAGTGCTATTGTGTCACCTTTAAATGAAGCACAGCTTCCCCAGATCGCTTACTTCTGATACTCCTTCATAACTAAGCTTAAGAGACAAGTGAGCTCACAGCTCTTCACCTGCTTAAAACTGAGGTAGGGATATTTCAGTTAAGAAATATTTCAGATATTTCTTTTATCAGATGTATCAGATAAGAGAAAACAGAGTTCTTTTGACAGCTCTTCCGAGTGAAAGATACATCCAGCACACAGGCAGCAGAGGAAACCTTGTTGGTGCTCAAGCATCAGCTTCATGCTCAGCCAGCACAGCTGAATGCCAAAGCCTGGTCAGGAGGAACTTTGGCAGGCTGGAGGAGTGGTCACATCATCTTAAGTTTAGCACAAACTGGATGTCAAAGGACAATTATAACTAAAACCAACACTGTTAGTACAAAACCTGTTGTTTCACTAATGAACTGAGAGAATTCCCAGATTCACCAGTTTTGAGTTGATGAAGGCCATCTCTGTAAACTGGTCTTACTAATTACAAGGCTTATCTTTCATCCTGTGAATCTTTTAAATATCACAGTGACATTCAATCTTTTTTACATTGACAGTGCTGAAAAATGTAAGCAATATCTAGGTAACTCACTCTCTCAAAGTGGGAAGGATCTGTCAACTCATATAAAGTGGAACATGAATTTAAAGTGAAATATCCATGGACTGCATGAAATGCACACTCATGGTTTTAAAATACAGACAGAAGCATCCAGCAACATTGCAAAAATATTGAGGAGTAGCTAGGTAAAATGAGAGAATGCCAGAATAATCTCTTATATTGTTTCAACTTCTAAACATTTTTCTTGAGGAAAAAAAATTCACATTAAATCCTAAAAAGTTATCTGCAGTTTTAATTCCTGTTCTCAAATGCCCAACTATGTCTTTTTTATACACTAAGAAAACGGCTGTACCAAATGTTCTCACTTCTTCTATGTGTGCTGTTAGCAATAATTTCTGACAATAAATTTGAGCTGGCTATACACCACATCTATTTTTTGTGAAATTCTTTAAAGGCCACTGGAATATTTTGTTTTTAGGAACCTATAAAGTTAACAAAGTGAGATCCACTAAACTAAAATGATAAAATAGATGGGTTATCTGGTAATTGCTCTGTTTCCACTATTTAACTGCAAAGTATGTAAAAAGTCGTGACTTTAAAAAGTATATCCAGAGCATTCCAAGCATAAAAGAAATCATAATGAAAGGCTGAAATGACATTCATTGCAGCAATGCTTTATTTCTCTACATTTCAGTAACTCTCTATATGCCATTAAAACCTTCTGGGAATATAAGTTTCATAGTTGCCTCAGAGTATCTTTCAGTCCCTTCCCTAACAGAGCTCATACAAATTTAAGCTAAAACTTTCCAAGTGGTCTAAATAAGATGAGATCATCAGCAATCATTGTCAATGAAGCCTTTTAAATATAAACTCATACTAGTTATTTTGACTAGGAGCTGTAAGTCTTCTATTTCTCATCTTGAGTCTGCTTCCATTGTAGGCTCAAATAAATGAATATCCATAAGATAGGTGGCCAAATGTACACTGCTAACTCCTGCCTAAATGTAAGTTTAGATACCCTTGGTCAACAGTCTAGAGATAGGAAATATCAATAACAAATTTTTTGTAACTACCTCAAACACACCCAGTGGTTTACACAACAAGTCTGTTCTGTTGGTCAATTATCAAGAGTTTTGGCATCTCAAAATATTTTAATTAAATCCCCTCATGAGTGAAGGTAAGTACAGTCCCTCATCTTCATTGAGTATCTCAGAAGCCCAGATATGGGCAGCTGCTGCAGAGCTGATGTCACAGCAGCACATTCAAAGAAAACATTACATAGCTGCACTTAAAATAAATTAATTGTGCCCACAAGAGCTTCTCTCTATTCAGAACAGAGGCTGTCCAAATGACAGGATCAGGTGTGGATGTTGATAATGTGACATTTCAAGTTAGATGAGATGAATTCTGCCCAGAAATCCCACATATCATCTGTGTATGTCACTTTCCCCTAAATATTACTGAGTATGGATTTCATGTTCTTCCTGGAGTTTTATACTCCATGTTCCCAACACCTGTGAATTCACAATCCACCTCTGCAAGAAGGAATATGCTGCTAAGTCAATTAATACTTCCTCTTTGAGTAATTAATACTGGCACCTGACAAAAATACTTTGGGGATAAACAAAAAGACATTTATGTTGTGATTCCTTCTATCACAATAACCAGTCTTTATATCTGCAGCTCAGCACTGGCCATTGTTACTTGATTGTTCAGCATCTTTCACTTAAATTCTTTGCTTGTTTTTCTTGCTCTGCTCCAAGGAAATGTCAGTCAGTGCCCTGGCCTCACTTTGGCCCTTTGGAGTCTCATAACCTTTAGCTGCCCTAAGAGACTGTGGCTGACATTAACCAGTGTCAACTAGATTCTATTGTTTGGAATGAAGATTGATGCTGGTACTTAAAATGGATGTTATACAGTTAATTGAAATATATGATACCCATTTACCAGCTTTTTAGCTTTATGTCAAAGCATTTGTAACCAGGAAAATGAGGAGTAATAAGACTTTTAGTTATAGGAAGGAAAAAGTAAAGTTTCTATGTTTATAGGTCAGGCTTCTCTTCATTTCCAGCACTCCCCTTTCTATCTAAGCATGAGATGGATCTTTAGGCAAGCCAGATTACACAGTCCATTTACTTACAGGTCTTAAGAAACAATTTATATAAACAAACCAACCAGAACAGTAACAGCACTAATACACATAAATTTTGACTTTACGGACATCTTTGTCTTCGCATTCCCTTTGCCTATTGTAATAATAGAATGTATTGTCCCTTCTCTGGAGTTTCTTAACAAATCCAGTTTCTGGCCAGCACTCTACCTACAAGTAGAACAGAAAGGATATAAAATCACCTGAACATGCTCATATTAAATGATGTTTGTGCAGGACATTGCAAGGAATATAGGGTATACTTCCATAGGAAACCCTCATTTGCATCTAAATACTACTTTTCTATTTACTTGCTGAACTTTTAAAAACAGATTGAGAACAAGATGACAGAAACCAGTTTTCAGGTTTAGTATAAAGTTATGTGATCTGAAAAGCCTAGAAATATTTAACAGAATATTTAACAGGCTTATTTTAAATTGGACAAGTCAAAGTTTTTATAACTCCTTGTTTAGGAATATAATATTGCTGCTGCTCAGTTATTCAGTAATCTGAGAGGCTGCAAGTGTCTGCTTTTGTAAGACTGACATATATTTAAAGATTTATTTCAGATCCTTCTGTTTAATATGCAAATGCTGAAGCCTTTAATTTAAAGGGTGATGCTGAGTTTATGTGGGACTGTATCAGTCTCAAAGACAGTAGGATCAGTCCCACATAAACTCAGCATCACCCTGGTGCTCTTCACTCTTTCATAGTGCAAAGCTTTAATTTAAAGGCTTCAGCATTTGCATATTCAACAGCTTTATAGCTTTAGTAGCTCTTTCAGCTTGGGCATCTATGACTGCTTTTGATTAAACTAAACCTTAAAAATCAGGTAATAAGCATCTTATTTCTCTTCCAGGCAGAGCTGACAATGGGATGTCAAACTAGAGCCTTCTCTAATTGGAGAGCCCCAGAAGTGGTTTCATCACTTACCTTATGACTTCAGGCATACAGCTGTGTTATGTGCATTGTCTGTCTAAACATAACAGCCTTAAGATTCATTCCACCTACATTATAATTGCATCTTTAGTAACAACAATACGGACTAAACAAGACATTTCAGAGTATGTAAGTTCAAAGAGAAACACTGCCAGGCCCTGGCATGCTGGAACTGAATGCACACTCACATTACAATTAGTCAGTGGTATTCTTTAACTTTCATCAGGGTTTAACTGCCAGGGGCTGTGCCCTGTCATAAATCTTGAACACACAGATCCTACCACAATAATTACATTATTTCCTTCTGCAGTTACGGAAAATTATACCACAGCCTTTGTAGTGATATCAGAGTCCACGACAAAATAATAAACTGTATCTTATTATGCACATCAAAATGTTTTGCTGTGTTTTGAGTTAACTGGATGGGGAGTGAGTTTCTTGGAACTTTCTGTTCTTTCTTATGTGCACAGGAGGTCAGCATATTTTAAAAGTGTGTTCTTCATACTGTATTTGCTGCTTTGGAAGATAAATTACAGAGATATAATAAAAATTATATATTGCTTGCTGTATTAACCTGTTGGTTACTGTTTTGAATCCAGAGTAGCCACTGGATATTTGGCCACTACTCAGTAGCTCATTTGATGTGCTGGGGAGCATCACTAACAACTGCAGTGAGCAGAGGCACAAGTCCTTGGTGTTGACAAGAGCCTGTGTCACAACTGCCTTTAGTACAGCTCAAATATTTCCATTGTGGACATCATTTTGATAGAGGCCAAGCTCTGAGTGTGCACAAAGCCTGACTGTGCTACCACACAATCCAACTGCCAACTGAAGCAGCAGCAATGACACAGGACTGACTCCATGGACAATCAACAAGTTTCCTATCAAGTCTATTGACAGACTAATGGGGAAGCTTCAGAAAGCTCAATTTGAGATGTTTCTTTCCTGAAAACTGAATGATTCTTTTGGAGATCAGCTACATCTGTTCAAAGAGATCTGTGATGCTTCTAAATGCATCAGAGATGGGGAACAAAACACAGGCTGGGTAGTATTTCTGCTTCACTTCTGTGAAATGAGTTATTCTACACAGTTAACAACAGCTCAAGAATTCAAGTCAGACCTGTGAGGAAAAACATTGTATCAGAACTTAAATGAAAGGAAATAAGCAGCACCTCCATTTTTATTTAATCATTTTACATGAAACAGAAGTTCAAAGTAGTAACTCTTACAAAGTTCTAAATCTTACCTCATCAACTTGTTTTACTTGTTTATATTCCACCTCATCTCTGTATCCAGCTTGCTGAAATCTGTATAAGTTCTCTACATCATTTGACCATATTTTGGCACGATGCACAGATTTTGGTTTGATGTCAGCTTTTGTCATGACTTTAGAAACTTCAGGCATCTTCCTGAAATTAGACTTAAAAAAATTAAATAGAGAAGACAGAAGCAAGTGATTCTCTTGGGGACATAGACTAATGGATAGAACAAAATTTTAAAACAAAGGAATTACAGAGCTCAAAGTCTGAGGTTAAAAAAGGAAAAAGTTATAAGCAGTTGGAATCAAATTAAAAGCACTACTTGATGTCAAACCCAACTCATCTGTACTTCCATATATATCTTGACTCAACCCCCCTAAAATGTAATTGTGCATATTGATGAATTAAAAAAATACTAAATGCAGTATTTTTGAATTTCCCATCGCTGCAGTTGCTGTCCCCTTGGGGCAGGCAGGCAGATTTCCAGATTTTTCTTTCTTGCTCCAAAGTGGCACCAAACTGGGAACCACAGCATGAAGATCTGGGCTGTTACTGAAGAACAGCAAACACTCAGGATGGGAGAGGAGGGGAAAGGAGAAATGCACAGTCAGTGACATGGCCACAGTGCCAGTGACAGAGATGAGGTGTTCAGAGATAAACTGGATAAGGAGACAAGGCCCACAGCCTGCCAGAATTCACCCTTTTCTACCTTTGCCCAAGCAAACAGACTGCCACTGACTTCCTCCTCACACAAAACCCCTTTGTTCAGTCTGCTGAGATGCAGCAAACAGGTTAATCAGCTGCTAAACCTGAGAAGAGCAGAACTGGGACAAGCTGAAAGTCAAACTGAAAAGAAAATTAATTAAATAGATAAATTTAAAAAAAACCCAAACAAACTAAAAACAACAGCAACAAAAAAGCAATAAAAAGGCAGACAGTGGATATTCACCAGGGATGGATCTGAACTGCATAAATAATTTGACTTCTGAATTTCATTGCATTTGCTTTCCTAAGCCTATCTTATTTTGCTGCTCAAATAGAACTTTTGTTGCTTCTGCCAGCAAAACACACCCATCACTACCATGCCTAGCAGGTATGATCAGAGATGAGTCCTTTCCCAGTTTTGAAATGTCACCAAGCTTCAGCTTCATAACTAGGAAAGCATCTCCAAGGAATGAAAACTTCTGGATTTTACAGTGAGAGGATGAATAGTTTCCTTCCCTGTGGGTACCATGCTGCCTCCAAACCTTGCCCAATTTCTTTACTTGGCAAGTTCCTATATCAACAGAGAGCTTGAAAAGGTGAATGCTGAAATCATATCAAATGCAAAATGTCACTAGTCTTTTAGAAAAGCAGAAATTGGAAGAAAAAAAGCTTGCACCACATGATAAAAATATTTGGGAAAAATATATCACGAATTATTGTTACCACAATGTGGAACTAGCAGCAAGAAGTCTGCACCTGTTTGTATGAGAGCCAGCAGGAGACAAAGAAAGGGCCTTTTATCTCTTACTGATTATGTTTATTAGAGATCAATAAAAATATGTGAAAGAGTATTTTTCTGGCAGCAATAAACCATTTCTTGCAGTTCAGTATTCCAAGCATTCTTTTACCAGGCACTGCAGCATTTTGCAATTGAAAACAGCCATTTACTAAACTAAAAAAGTCATTTTCCCACCTCGTTATGAAGTATCAAATACAAACTAACAGGATAAGCACAGATCCTTATTCTAAATTAAGGGTAGTAAGTAGGGTAAGTTTGTTCCTCCTGTGCTGCAAAGGGCTCTTTTGTAGCCACCACAGGACTTTTCAAGCTCTGTATTTTTTATCAGTGTTTGATGAGGACTGTTGTCAGTCAATATTGACTTTAGACAGTCAATACGACTAGCAATAATATTAGATCCTAATAAATGCTCAGCCATAATGAAATTAAGTGTCTTGTGATAACTTACATGTCGTTAGTGTTAAGTATTTCTTTACTGGATGTGCTGGATTCACCTAATGAAGGTTTTTCTTCAAGACATGTGGGTAGGTCTGGCACTTCTTGAGTCACCATTAATTCACAGTGCCTGTCCACAGGCGTTCCTGCCCAAAAAATAAAGATCATATATTGAAAGTTCCAGCTTAGTGACTTCATATAATGAAAGGATCCCGTTATGGGGCTGCTATTTAAAAATTGTACTCTGTGTCTATTGTGTGTCCAAGTTCCAGGCACAGAGCTGTTTTCATTGTACCAGAGCAGGGCACAGCTGTACTCCAGCCAGAAATTCAGGGAAGAGATGAAGGACAACAGACAGACAAAGGCAAATACAGAAGACAAGAGAATGGTAAGGAAATATTCAGTTTAATTTTAACGTTTTCATTTAAGGGGAATTTTTGAACAGTGAAGTGGACTTTGCTAAGATGACAATGTTTGCCAGATCCTGATTTAGGGTAAACAGTGAGTGCTTTGGCCTTGGGAACACATTTTTTCATGTTAAAAAAATCATAACAGAGTTACTGTGGAATTCTAACTAGCCTGGGCTCGCTGATGGTGGTTTCCTGGACAGTTACACAAACTGTAAGGGTTTGTGGAAGGAGAGTGTCTGATCCCTTAGGGCATCTGCCCAGGGACCACCTTCACTGCAACATGGGGTCACAGGAAAGGCAGAAAGACATTAAACAACACATGGTGACTCAAACCTGAGCAGCAAATGAGGAGAGTGAGGATGAGAACCACACCTGTGGCATGTGAAGGGTGTGAGAATGTTAATTCCATCAAGGTTATCTGATCAGGGACCTTGTCAGTTGGGAAATTTGGGAAAAAGGGGGAAACAAACAAAATATGCAGAGATAGGGACCTGACAAAACAAATACTGATTAACAAACCTCAACTCCAGCACTAACAGATGGGATATCAAGAAACAACAGGAATGCCACCCAGGGAGCCCAACCTGGACTTTGTACTGCCAGGACTTAACCAGGGGAACCCAGACTTGGAGAGGTGTGGGAGTCCACAGAACTGTGTAGATCTGTGAGCAATGTGCAGGAGCAGGGAGAAACAGAGATGGGAATAGACAGAAAGGAGTATAAAATAAGCCTGTCCTGTGTAAAACAGGACCAGTATTAAACGCCCAGCTAAGCCCCACACCTGATCACCACAGACTGTCCTACTCTTTTGTATCTTCTTAAACCTTGACTGTCTCTCTGCACAAACTCTGTTCCACATGTGTGTGTGCTGCAAGGACAAACTGCCAGCTTCTGATGAGATCTGTGTATGAGTCAACACTGGTGCCAGCTCTGGGAATCAGGCTGGGGCTGTGAGCACCTATGATAACTGGAATAGCTGGGGGTACTAAGTTTCCAGCCACTGGAGCAGGAACAGGGTGTGTCCTGAAAAATTAGCTACTGGGGGGTGGCTGTCATGAGTGAGGGGCTCCGTGTCAGCAGGTGCAGCAGGACTGTGGGTCCCAGCCTGTGTTCCTGGTGCTGGGGAGGAGTGGTGTCTGTGCCTTCACCCATTTAGGGTGTGCACCCACATTCACCAGCAAACTAAAGCTGAAGAGCAGGGGCACCTTGGCTCCAGGCCAGGGTATCAAGCAGGACAGGGGGCCCTGCTGCATCCTCAGCCCCAACAAGGAGCAGCATGTCCCCAGGCAGGAGAGGCCCTGGGCACAGCAGTGGGAGGAGATGGCTGTGCTGCCTACATCACTCACCCCAAGCCAGCAAACTCAGGACCTGCTTGGGGTCTCTCAGCCAGTAAGGGATTTCACAGGGTGTCAAGGGGTTGGAAAGGCCCTTAAAGACCATTTCGTTCCAACCCCCTGCCATGAGCAGGGACACCTTCCATTAGATCAGGCTGGTCAAAGCCCCAGCCAAGCAGGCCTTGAACTGTCCCAGGGCTGGGGCAGAAAACCTCGCTGGGAAACCTGTCCCAGTGCCTCACCGCCCACACTGTAAAAAAAAAAAAAAAAAAAAAAAAAAAATTCTTCCTAACATCTAATCTAAGTTCCCCTCTTTCCAGTGGCTTCTACCTACTCTACCCGGCAGCTCCTTGTACATTCCGAGGTGCTCAGCCAGACGTCCCGGCCTGCGCCCGCAACTGCGCTGCGACCCTAACTTCACCCTGCTCCCACCGCTCTGGCCACAACCCGCCCACCCAGCCCTTAAGGCGGCCCACCTCGGCTCAGGGGAGGCAAAACGGGGACTCTTCCCAGACGGGGCGAAGCGGCGGCCGCGGCGCGATGGCGGCGCCCCTAAAAAAAAAAAACGGCCGGCCCCTCACGGCCGGCCCCTCACGACGCCAGCGGTCGCCAGGCAACCGCCCGCCTTGGCCGCTTTAATAGGCCGTGCCCGCCCCTGATAGGCCGGCGCGGGGCGGGGTCGCCTCGCGATTGGCCGAGCGGCGGGCCGGGCGGAAGCGCGCGCCGCCCGCCATGAGCCGGTTCGGGGGCCGCACGCGCGAGTACCCGGCGCTGTCCATCGACCGCTTCGACCGCGACAACCTGCGCGCGCGCGCCTTCTTCCTGTCGCACTGCCACAAGGGTGAGCGCCTGTGCCTCCCTGCCCCTGTGCCCCCCTCACCCCGTGTCCCTGCCCCTGTGCCCCCCTGCCCCGGCTGACCCCGCGCCTCTCTCCCCAGATCACATGATGGGGCTGCGGGCCCCCGCCCTGAAGAGGAGGCTGGAGGGCAGGTACGGCCTGAGGGGAGGCTCGGCAATCCCGGGATGGGAGCGGGACAGGGACGCCTCCCGCTAGACCAGGTTGCTCCTACCTGGCCTCGGATTATTCCAGGGATGGGGCGCTTGCAACTTCTCTGTGCAGTTTGTTGCAGTGCCTCACCACTCTCGCTCGTTGTAAAAAACTTATTCTTTGTACCTCGTCTAGAGCTGCCCCCTTTCAGTTTGAAGTCAGCTCCCCTTGTCCACACCACGTCCTTGTGGAAAGTTCCTCTCTATAATTCTTAAAAGCCCCTTTTAAATATCAAATGGTAGCAGTAATGCCCCCGCAGAATTTTCTCTTCTCTAGGCTGAAAACCCCAGCTGTCTCAGCCTGCCTTCACAGCAGAGGTGCTCCAGCCCTCTGAGCATCTTCGTGGTCTCCTCTGGAATTACTCCTGCAGGTCTCTGTTCTGGGGACCCAGAGCTGGCTGCAGCGCTGCAGTGGGGCTGGCAGGAGTGCAACAGAACCCCCTGCCTGTGCTGCTGCCCGCAGTGCTGGTGATGCAGCCCAGGGTAAGATTGGCTTTCTGGGCTGCAAGTGCACACTGCTGGCTCATGCCCAGCCTCATCCACCCATACCCCGAAGTCTTCTGCAGGGCTCTGTTAACCCATTTATCTCTCAGTCTGTTTTGACACCAGGGGTTGCCCAGGCTCAGGTGCACTTGGCTTTGTTGAACTCCATGACATTCATGAGGATCTCTGTTGTTCTCTGGAAGTGTTGGTGCACAGAGACAGTGCTGTGCCTGTGCAGTGGAGGGGCCAGCTGTCCTCTCTGGGGTGTATAAGCAAGCAGGTAGCCAGCAGTTTGAGGGAGACAGTTATTCCCCTCTGGCCAGCACCTACCCGTGAGACTTTTCTGGGGTACTGTGTCCAGCCCTGGGCTCCCCTGGATGGTAAACTGATCGGTGTTCTGGTCAGCATCACCAGGCTGGCTGTGTGGTGTGTGAGGAGAGGCTGAGAGAGCTGGATGTCTTCAGCCTTAGGAGTAGGAGACAATCATATATCACTGTTTGCAGGTAGGGGTGGAGGAGGTGGAGCCAGGCTTTTCATGGAAATGCATAAAGAAAGGGCAAGGGACACCTTTTTCACCCTGAGGATGACTAAATGTGGCAATGGGCCCAGGGAGGTTGTGGGCCAGTTCCTAGGCTCTCTTTGATTTATTAGAGTAGGTATGGCATCTCCTCTGATGCAAGCAGAGAATCTCTTTGCTCATCAGGTCTCTGTGCATCAGCTCGAGCTTCATCAGGAGTGTTCTGTGCTCTGCTGTGTGCTGACTGTCCCAAGTGCCCGTTCCAGGGGTGTGTGCAGGGGTGGAGAAACAAGCAGATAGGTCATGGCCATGTACCACACGCTGCATTTGTGTCTGCACCAAACCATGCAGGCAGGGGCACACAGGGGTAGGTTTGGGTTTGCTGTGCTGAAGAGAAGGCTGCAGGCTTCCAGCTCTGCAGGGCTCCTCACGTGAGAGCTTTTGAGGGCAGGGTTTGATCTACTGGGTGCCAGGTGCTGATGTGTTGTTGGATTGTTCCTCATGTCTGCTTTAAAAAACACTTATCTGTGTTTTTTGTCTCCTCACAGCTTGAAAGTTAAACTATACTGCTCACCAGTAACTAAGGAATTGTTGTTGACTAACTGGAAATACAAGTTTTGGGAGAATCATATTGTGAGTTTGTGTTTCTTTTGAAAATAGCACTTTCCAAGCAGTGATTCTCAGAGAGAAGCAGCTCCCTGCTCCTCAGGAGTGTCTAAATGTTGTTGTTGATTCAGTGTTTCAGGGCTTGAGTACTTCCAACAGTGTGCCTTTCCTGCTGCTTGCCATGTGGCATTGGTTTATTGCTGCTTGTTGTTGAATTATTTTTCCCCCCACACAATTTTTCCTTTTCTCTCAACTTCAGCTTTACATGATCTCATCCTTACACTGATCATTCATACATTTGAATTTGTATTCATTTCCTTACCTTGCTCATGTCTCTTTGCTTCTGTCCTTTATTTCTCTTTGGCTTCATTTAAAGTCTCTTACTGCTTGGAGTGTATATAATCTGAAGTATATGATTTTCCTTTTGCTTTTTGGAAAATGGACGATAACATGAAGAAGTTTTAATGCAAAATCACTGAAAAACGTAATAAATTTACATGATTTCCAGTGTTTGAAGCCAGACTGCAAGGGAACAATGTTATGTACAGGTGTGACTTGAAGTTATTTCCTTCCTTTTGCAGATGCAGGCATTATAAAGCAGAACATGAGTTTTTTACAGAAACAGAAATAATTATATCATAATTATATCATATATTATATGTATATAATATATTATTATATATATTATAATAGTTATATAATAGTTATTAATTATAAAACAGGTATTATAAAACAGAACATGAATACTTGAAGTTATTTCCTTCCTTTTGCAGATGCAGGTATTATAAAACAGAACATGAGTTTTTTTACAGAAATAAAAATAATTATCTCTGCACAAATACAGGAATATATCCTCCAAGTGATGATGGGCTCTGCTTCTGGTAATAGGGGGCAGTGGGAAGTACTGCAGCACAGATCTGTTCTAGCAAGATCACTGCTGTGGGACTGGGATTTTGGGCTTTGCAGTCATGCAAAAATAAGGCATGTGATCCATCCAGAGGAACAAGAGCTGTTTCTGATAGAAATCCAACATGCTCTAACTTTTAGGCATGCACACCTTGCCTGAGGTATCTCCATTTAATTTTTAGATAACTTTAAGGAAAATGTATTCCACTGGAAATGGAAATTTATGACTTACTGTGGGAAAATGAGTTTAATTTTACAGGCTTAGCATTAGTGACAGTGAGTGCTACAGATGTCTACATAATAAATAACTAGACATAAACATGAAACAGAATGTTCAGTAAATCCTATAATGCAATTAATCATTTTGTTACAGGTTGCATTGGAAGTTGAAACACCAACTCAGATTTCTTTAGAAGATGAAACATCTGGTGAAGTAAGTTACAGGAAAAAAAGATTAATGTGTCAGTCATGGGCAGTGATGCTGTTTACACGAGTACAGGAAACACAGCTGCAGCATCTGAAGTGCACAAGCTATTTTTAAAATCTATGTGCCTCTCCTCTCCTGCAGTGACAGAAAAAGAGGTGGTAGTTCTAAACTGAAAAAGGCTTGATTCAGACTAGATTTTAGGAAGAAGCATTTTACATTGAGGATGGTGAAACACTGGAACAGGTTGCCCAGAGAGGTGGTGGATGCCCCAGTCCTGGAAACATTCAAGGTCAGGATGAGGCTCTGAGCAGTCTGATCTGGTTGAAGATGTCCCTGCTTATTGCAGGGGAGTTGGACTGGATGAACTTTAAAGGTCCCTTCCAATCCAAACTATTCTGTACTTGCTTACCAGGAACCAAGGAAGTAGAACTGTCTTCTGTCCAGCTTGCTTAATAAACACCATACAAATACTTGGGCCTCTCTTCTGCCATGACAGGATGGTGGTTGCAGTGTGAAGAGAGGCTCTGGTTTTAAAAGCAATGCTAAATGCTGCAGGAGGCTGTGGGGAGTAATGCATTGCTCTCACTGTGCTGACAAAAGTACTGGTAGTACTTACTACAGCCTGAAAATAATGTTAACCCCTCTCTTCCAGAAAGAAGATGTAGTGGTGACACTTCTGCCAGCTGGTCACTGTCCAGGTTCAGTCATGTATGTCCTTTCAATACTTCAAATGTTTCACCACCTGGCATTTAATGAGGAGTTTGACCCAAACATTGCTGTCTGCAGGTTTCTCTTTGAAGGTGAGAATGGCACTGTGTTGTACACAGGGGATTTCAGGCTTGCAAAAGGAGAAGCAGCCAGAATGGAGCTTTTGCATTCAGGGACCAGGTGAGCTATTTGTGGGATATAGAAAGAACAGAAATTGTCCATATGGCATGGACAATTTGGCTAGGTATTCATTATTTTTTCCTCATTTTTAATTCTAGATTAAATATAATTGCAATACTGCCATTACAAGCCCCCTTTGATGGTTTCTTTGCAATCAGGAGGTAGAATTGCCTCCTTTTGAAGAGAGAGGAAGTGGTGTATCTTAGCACTGTGGTATAACGTTTATTCTGATATCACATTTTTATCCTCCAGGGTAAAAGACATCCAGAGTGTGTATTTGGACACTACTTTTTGTGATCCCAAATTTTATCACATACCAAGCCGGGTAAGTCTAATAAATTGTGAGAAGAAAGGCCCTTAAAACTGTTAATTAATTAACTACCTCTTTGTTAGGAAGGTCTTACAAGGCAATGCCATTTTGCATTACTAAATCACAGCACTTTGGAAGTCTCTTCCAAGATGACTGACATCACTTTCTACACTTTTCAGGAGGAATGTTTAAATGGGATCCTGGAGCTGGTGCGAAGCTGGACCTCACTGTCTCGTAATCATGTTGTGTGGCTGAACTGCAAAGCTGCTTATGGATATGAGTATTTATTCATAAACCTCAGTGAGGAACTCGGAATCAAGGTAATGTTTCCCTAATTGCTGCTTTGGAACAGATCCTCAGT